TCAGAAGAAAACATAGTGATTTTGAGTGTAATCCCAGCTGAATCATCACAGACATGAAAAAACCTGTGAGTTAAGACCAAAAAAATCTTTGAAATGCTGCTGTCCTCTGATCTTCTTGGAATCTTAGTGGCTGCACAATTTTATGAGAGTTTCAAGGAGCCTCACATTTCTACTAACGTCCATTAACATTTGGAGAGTCATCATAAGACAAAGGGGCATTGCTAAGGATCACAAAACTCCATCAGTATCAGCTTTTCCCAGTTTGTGTTCTCCATGTACTACTTCTTTTCTATCTGAGAATTCTCCCATGCCAGTGAGATCTTCAGAGGTTCATTTTAGACCAGCTTAAAATTATAGTATATGGAAAGAACAGTAGAAATAAGCTTTCATGGAAGTCAAGTAATGGTCACTTTTTAGTATCTGCAACTATATTTTTACAGGCTCTGATTGAGTTTTAACAGCATCAGTGCAACTTCCTATTTTTGGCTTGTCTTCCTTGCCAAAAAGTTTTCTTAGTAAAACAGAGTATCCTTTGCAGGTTAAATAAATTGGCATTTTACAGCAAAATAAACCACTAAAGACAGAAGAACTTTTATGCTTTCAGTAAAAATCTATCATTCCTTCATTCCATCAGTATTTCAGATCAGGATGGTATTCAAATGAAATCCACCTTCCTTCTAGAGACACCAAAACTACACTCTAGGTTTTTCTACCTGCTTGTCTCCATAGCTCCTTCTGGAAAAATAAATCTTACACACAACTGTATAACTCTAGCCTCCTTCACTGGCACCTCTTGAACAGATTTCTAATAGTTTGAAGCCACCTGGCTCCACTCTTATGCTGCACTTCTTAGTTCTTTTTCTATTGGTTAAATGATTCCCTCACTTCTAATGCTAATTAGTTTGCATGCTCAGTCTTTTTTCTTGAGTCGGTAGGTTTCTTGGGTCGGTGGACCGTGAGTCGGTGATCACGATCTCCTCCTGCTAGAATTACATTTTACTCAGTCTGAGCTAATTTCAGCACAGTTGCTGAGTTGGCTTTCTTCATGGCCCATAAATTCTGCATTCTTTGTGTCCATTATCTGTGCTACATTTTTCTTCCTAAGCTTTTTAACCTCCCCCTAGGTCCAAGATAACACACAGGCAATAATACCACCTTTATCTTATCTCAGGTTCCCACTGTGGTGGCTTAACTTACAGTCCAAGTTCCAGGTATCCGCGGAGGCATATTCAGGGGGGCTTCAGTGGTTTTTGGTGGTCACAGGTGGTATCTGTGCCATAACTTTGGATGACCTTTGTTTGACTGGTGATATGTGCACGAGCAGTTGCTTCTTTACACAATTTGCCACAGTGGGAATTTTTGTCTGGATGTGTTAACCAGGATGTACTAACCAGATCTTGTCTCTGTCAGGCTTGGAATTAGCATGATCCTGTTGCTCCATTCTGTGCCTATCTCATGGCAAAGTCCTTCTGTGTCCCTAACAGTGTTTGAGAGAGACAACTGTGCTCTTTAGGTCCTTAGAGCTGGTCTGCCAATTAGTCTGCCAAATGAACTGGCCAGCTAGTGATTTTATCATATAATAACATCATTATCCCTAAAATGCCAGTCTGTACTAATATATTATGAAGAATCAGTTATGTAGAAACTCCTTTCGCAAATCAAGCTTTAAAGCCAGGTCATGTGAGTGAAAAAAAATGCACCTGAATCCTGTGCTCTTATGGCAGTCAAATAAATAAAAGTGGCTCCACACACAGTGGTGTATCACTTACTGATTAGTGATATTGAATAACTGCAGAAGTTCTGTTGTTTGTATAAAGCATAAAGGATGTATGATGCTCAAAAGAAACCAACAGTCACTTTGGTAACCATTAAGCATAAGAAGGCTCAATTAAAAATTCAAAATATGTTTTTTGATTCAATATTAAAGTATTAACACTCAGTTACGGTTGTGCTCTGAGATTAGAATAAAGGAGTTCTCAATCACAGAATAACACTAGAACATTTTATGGTATCAAAGATAGAGAAGATCTCTTAAGGAGATAGTTATCCCTATGTACTTCTTCAATGTCAAATTAACTCATATAATTTTCTGTAGATCTTGCAAATTTGCAAGATTTTTCTTTTCCATGGAGAAGTTATTCCTCTATAATAAAGTGCTTTTGTAAATAAAACCTAAAGAAGTTTGAGAGCAACTTTTGAGTTTCTTGGCTCTACATAACTCAATTTTAATGCTTATTTTTTATTTCTATGTGCCTCATGTAGGTTAAGAAAGCTGGCACTTAGTACTCCATGTCTTTAAAAGAGACCAGGGACGGGGGAATTAACTGAGCTAATGCTACAGACTGGGCCTCTGTGACAGCAAAGCCTCCACATGCTCAGAATCTGTAACCAATTAGATTGGATTAGTGTGCTATCTTTCTAGTACACACACACTGGTGTTTACCTTCACAGTTTAAATAGTTTCATAGAAGAAATTTTTCAGTTTTCCAAGCTGACACAGAACACTTTTTAAACCAGCAATTTCAGTGGCCGAGGCTGGATGTGATTCTGCATATTCCCAAATTCCAACTCTTCCAGCCAGCAGCCAAGCTATCAACAGACTGAGTGGGGTCATTCTTTTCAGAGCTAGAGCTATAGAAAGCACTGCAGATATTCCTTAAAATTTCATAATAAACAGCATTTAACAGCCATTTCTTAGCTGGAGAAGATGGTGAGGGTCTTCCATTCATGTTAGACTGGATAGGCTTAATTTTCAGTTGCTGTTATTTCCATATATGCTGAAGAGTATTCCTGGTGAGGACAATCCTGCTGAATGGGTGAAACTAAATCCTATGAAGAGCTGGAATGACCAAGACTGTTTTCTGTGAAGGAACAGGTTTTCAGAAAACTATGACTGGGGCCTGTACTCACTCTCAAGCATTTAGAAATACAAATGAGGTAGGCCATAAAAGATTGAATGAAGTTTGCAAATGTGCTTTGGAAACCTACCGCTCAATGCACTAATGGTCTATGGCTAATCAGTTCTCACCTGGTAAGTCAAAAGTTGGTACTATGTTGGAAATGGGCAAGACTAATAAAATCGTGCTTTCTTATGGGTTGTGGGCATAAGTTATTAATGAGTTTAAACTATTAAATTCTGAACTTCATAGAAAAGACTTCCCAAACGAAACTGAGGACAATGTCAGCAGTAATACACTTGCAAATTGCCAGCACAAAGAACAAATGAAAAGGGCGTTATTCCACTATAGCTGGGTAAAACGTAAGGGCAGGTTCAAGAAGTTGGATCAGGATAGAGAGAAAAGGTGCATGATGTCAGGGTAGTAAAGAAACTTAATTAGGCCCATTCTCTCAAGGCAGAGAAAGATCAGAACTGTTTTCCATAAGGTAGGTATCTGCTGTGACAGACTGCTCTTTCACACTTTCCAGGGCTTCTCCCCAGGAGATTAAACTGGTCATCTGTTCTAAGGAGGAATTATGCCATAACATTTGAATTTCCTGGTCCTATTTGCTAAATGTGTAGACTGTGGAAGCTGCTTTGATTGACCAATAATAGGTGATATACAAACTGTCCTTTCAGTGAGTGAAGTCCTTGATGTTTTTTGTTGTTACAGGCTTCCTCCCTTTCACTGCTTGTGTATTGCTTTAGAAAAAGAGACTATTACTATATATGTATAAAACAGTCTGACAAAGCTCAGAGAGTAACACCAGAACTCCAAGGCGATTCATCACAGTAATAGTCAAGAAATGGAAAAAAAAGAATTATTTAATCAGTACTGTCATGCTCTAAAGAAAATTATCGACCTATTTTTCCAGATTGGATGTAAAAGCAAAAAAGAGATTAGTTGTTTATCTGCTCTACTATGAAACCCAAATATATAGCAGAGTTGGGGATGGGTTTAAAATCTTTCTGTACCTGAACAACTCACCTTTACTTTGGCAGAAATATAGCCTTTTAAAAATTTATCATTAATTCTAGGTGAAAATTAGACAAACTTTTCTAATGAAATCTCTTACTGTGTACTCCGAGCATACCTAATCTCCCTTAGGAAATGACCATTGACTTGGGCAGACTATTCTTTTTGTTAATGTTCTTTTAAATTTTCAGCAAGCATCACTGTCTCAGGAAATACTAGTTCCATAAACTGCTCTACTTTCCATTCAGTGCACGCTTAAGATTTAATCCATGTTAACCTCGGAACCGTTTTCTCTAAAGAGGACTCAAATTCTGTGGCTACTGCTGTGATGGATTTGCCAAAAGACCCGACATAGTAAAAGTTGTGCGTGTAAAAGTTGTGTGTCGCTTTTCCACACCCAACACTAATACATTATTTACACAGGATGCAAGCTGTAATAGCATGTGAAAAAATCTGCAAGATCACCTTTAACAGAAGCGTTAGGAGGCACTGCTCAACAATTTTTTCTGTGGCTGGAACAAGTAAAAGGAGCTTCTAAGCTCCAGCTGAAATGCTCATCCCAGTACCTAACTGCATTCACCGATTATGGGAAGGCAGCGTTGGAATGGCCATGGCAAAGCCGGGGCTGCCTCCCGGCTCTGCGCGCCGCTTCAGTGGCTGCTACGCTGAAGCACCGGGCAGTGCTGGAAGCTCCGCCAGCCTCCGAGCCCACTGCCCTCCCGCCCCAGGCCGAGGCGGCGCCCGGCGGCGGGTCCCGCCGGGGGCATCCCTCTTCTTACCAGCGTGAGTGGGGGGACCCAGTCCAAGGGCTCGGCGCCGCCCGCCTGGCTGACCTCGAGTGCCGCGGCGGCTCCTCTGCGAGCTGCCACAGCCCACCGCGAGGGAGGCCAGAGACCCCCGCCCCGCTCCGCCGCGGTCGGCTGCGGTCACCTCTCGCGGGCACCGCCGAGCCCCCAGGGCACCGGGCGGGAGAAGCCCTCTGCACCCACCCCCACGGGGCCCGTACCCGGCGCTCCCCGCCCCGCATACTCCCCGCCCTCCCCGCATCCCCGCCCGCCGCTACCCGTGGCGGCCCGCCCGCGACCCCGCTCCCCTCGGGCGCTGGCAAGGGGCAGGCTCGGCTTGTTCCTGCCTCCAACTTCGCCCAAGTTAACTCGGGTTTCCCCCGCCCCGCAGGGTCTGCCTGGCCTCCCGGTCCTCCGGTAGGGAGAGAGGGAGGGAGGGTGGGGAAAGGCGTGTCCTGCCTGGGCTGCCGCCGCCGCCACCGCTGCCGGAGGCAGATCGGAGATATAAAAGACCTGGCCGTGGTCCGGTTGTGCTTTCAGTCAGCGCAGACGCTCAGGTCGTGGGGAGGGGGCGCAGCGGGGCGCGGAGAGCGGCGGCGGGACAGGCGGAGGCAGCGCGGGGCTCGCCGTGGGCAACCCCAATGCGTGGACTATCGGCTGCTGCATTATGCTGGAGCTACAGTTCCGCTGAAGGGAGTTTGCACACGGCCGGCTGGGCTGGACTGCAGCGCTGCCATTCCTTATGAAGAAGGCACAAGTGAGTGCGACCAGGCTTCGGCGGCGGGGGGAGACTGGGGACACCCACCTGCCCCGCGGCGGAGCGGGGCCGGGGGCGGCTGGGGCGGAGGGGCTGCGCGACCCGGGGCAGCCGACCCGTAGAGAGTGCGCGTCCGCGGGGGTCGGTGGGGGCTGTGGCTCCCGGGCTGCCCGAGAGGTGAGGGGCGCCGAGGTGAGAACCGCTGCAGTGGGTGAGCGGTTTGGGGGAGTGAGCTGGGGGGAGAAAAGAATTATCACTCTGTCTTGCCCTCGGCGCCCGCAGCCTGTGGAAAAGTTGTAGCAAGCGGCCGAACCGTCTGCCGAGACTTGGGAGACCTCGGAAGGCAGTGGGGAAAATTGCCGTAATAAATCAGTTGTCTGTGTTACCCGTGCGAGTGCGAGAACACGAAATCGGGGGCAGCAGCGCCGTGGCTGCGGCGTTCGGTGTCTCTCTCCCCGCACGCTGCCCCAGCGTGCGGCGCCTGGTGGGTGTCGTGGGAACCCCGGCATTCCGCCCCTCGCCCTCCCGCATCCCGCCGGAAAGTGACGCTCAGTGCCTCGGCGTCGGCCCCTGCCATTATTTCTCCAGGTTCTGTAGAGATTTCAGTTGCTATGCTGTGCGTTTTTTAGAAAGAAGGATAGAGACAGACACGAGTGGAAAATTGTAATAAGAAGCAGCTCAGAGGGAGAAAGTTTAAGGCTGGTCTTTGCAAGGTGCTGATACCCTCAATCCTGGTAAACTCCAGCGAGAGCCAGGACTGCTCCGGGAGAGAACAATGCATGGACACGCACACCGCTGCCTCCGCACTGGGGCTTTCTGCCTCCCCTTTTTCTTCTTGGTTAGAAGCAAGATACTTTTTGCTTCCGTCTGTTTCTTGACAACTGCTGGGTCGCCTACACACCAGTAGCCTGAAGACACCTCAACATGCAGTCATTGGAAAAGACATAAAACATATTTTAAAAGAAAGTAAAAGACCTTACTGAAGTATTTTGGGCAGTTAAATAATTTATCAAGAGATGACAGGAATTAGAAATAGTCACTTTCTGAAATATTTAAATCTCAGCTGACCAAAGCACTGGAGAATGTACCCATGTTTAAGGAGTTATAACCTGAAGACTTAATTTTGGTGATGCTGAAGTACAGTGGGGTTTTATCTTAAATTATCAGCTCTGATTTTTAGCAGTGTATATCCATTGCTATTATTCCCACTAGATTACTAAAGATGCCTTGTACCTCAAAGCTGTTGTTTCAGACCCTATATACAAGTGTATTTAAATATGCTGAATAGATTATTAATTGCGAAGGGCCTCTTAAAGTCTGAGAGCCATGTTTATGTGTGTTTAGTTATATGCATTCATTTAATATTGGAATGGATAGCAATAAAGTCACAAGATTTTTATCCTAGCCCATGGAAGCGTAGAAGTAGGGCTGTTTCTTTCATGAAGAAAAAATGTTCAGCAAATGAATGAAGATTTATGAGTGCGAGCAGTCAAGTGTTTTATTATATTCAAACTGTAAACTTTTAAAAATTAATGAAGTACTTCTGCAAATTTAGAGCAAAGCAGGAACAATCCCTCTCTCCCAATAAACTGGGAAAGAGAGGCAGTCTTGGCGTTCAGGACCATATGGCTTGACTCAGGGGCTCACAAACCGTAGCCTATGGAACAGTTTCTTGTCATGGTGGTGAAGCATCTGTCAGCCTTCAAGCAGTTACACTTCCTGCTTTTTGGATGCAGTGACAGACTCCTACTTCTCCAAAGGGTTATTTCCTATATTTTAAGGACTAGCAAACAAATGTGATACCAAACCATTAATCATTCCTAGGAGATCAGAGCAGGCGATACTTCAAGAAGACTTTCCATTAAAATCATGAAGACCCTATGCAAAGAGAGAGAGCAAGTGAAGCAGGTACAAGAAGGTAGACTTAAGCACATGGGGGCACTCGACACATTAAAGTAAATCTTAATCTATTTGCTGTCCTGTGGCTACTTGGGTCATTGCCTAGACTCGTAATTGGCATAGTGAAAAGAACAGGACTGGAAAGCCAGGAAAGAAGTTAATATTTCTTATAGTAAAATATTCTGCAATAGACATAGTACAGAAAGCAAAAACCACAACATCACTGAGTCTTGAAAAGACTTGGTAATGACTGGATAGTGCTTAAAATAACTCAGAGATTCTGATGTTTAAGGTAATGTTGCACAGGGACAATATATAACTAGTGCAGCTGAAGGAGTAGCTGAGTCATACATCAGTGCAATGAAAGTGCTGAAAGAAAAGTTGTGCTGAATGCTAGACTCAAAGTGAGCAGGTTGGTCCCTTAGTTTAAATTAGTCTTAACCTGAGAAACCACTGGAACTGCAGAAGCATGTTCCCCAAGTGTCGGTTCTAGAAGTGATGTTTTTGAAATGATGTAATTTGATAGACATATAATCCCCCTGTTTTAAACATACCAACACCTGGATTTTTTTTTTTTTTTAAAGTCGTAATGTCTTTAAAAATGTGATTAAGCATTTAGGGTCTAGTCATACAAATCCTTTTTCAATGGGGCTATTTCCATGAATTAATCTTATTGAAGGATTACTTGGATGAGAGGATTTGCAGGCTTATATACTTAGTAATTAAAACTATTGTCAGAAGTGAGTTAATGTCCTTTTGCATGTTAATATTAAAAAAATTAAAATATCATTGATGTCCGTACAGCCTTTTACATTTTATATAAAACAGGATGAGTGATGCTAGTGTGATATGATCTTGCAAAAAGGTGTAGCAGTTTTCTGATTTGCTTGTTCATTGTTTGATTTGAAGATAATCTAAATAGGATTAAGTTACTAAGAAATATGCTGTAAAGAGGGGTCACCTATGGGGTAGCTCTGAAGGCTGCTGATGTTAAGGTATCACAGATACATGGTTCAGGCACTTGATCTGCAGTGACTTATATGAACATCCTCTTAGAAACATCAGTATTAAAAACATCTTTGATCTCAGCTCAACTTTTTACCTCTGAACGTGCACATTATTGCTAGTTGCTCTTAGGCTGTCTTGTCTACAGTATGCTTATGTCACTGAGGTGGAAGCCTGTGTAGAAATTATTTTGGACCAGTACCTGGAAAAAGAATTAAACACAAATTGCCCATTCCAGTTTCATATGAACAGGCTAAATCAGAAACGCAAAGTAGATACCTGATACCTTGGTGCAAGCTTGCTTTTAGGGGAAATAACGTGCTCTGATCACAAATCTTTCTTGCTCATCCTGCAAAAAAACCCTGAACATTAGGCACTGGAAGACATTTGGAGCTCATGATGGGTATAGATCTGCTGCTCATTAGATAGAAAAAGAGAATTTGCTGGAGCCAGAAAGATGTTGTGCTATTCACATTGAGCAATGGGCTATGTCTCCTCTGACCCCTTTATTTTGACTCTGTTTAAGGGATGCCAGTTTGTGAGTACTGCAGCTGGAAGGAACATCCTGGAATAAAGAGTCATATGGGGAATAAACAGCAGCTGACCTGGAAGACTCAAGGGGGGGGCATTTTGTAAGGCATGTTTAGTGATCTTTTTATTTATTTTTTTTCTTCACCTGCTTGTATTGTAGGCCTGCAAGTTTTTATCTTTGTGAACTATTTGGCACTTGGCTTTGTAATCTAAACTGAGGCCACTGACCCAGTTCTGGCATTGCACTGAAATCTAGTTTCTCCTTTTATGCACTGAATGTTAGTCCTTAGGTACAGTTCTGTAAGCTGGCAGTGTCATTCTCCAAGCTTTGTTGTGTGATTTAATGGTATGCTGGCTCATGTAATTGCCATATTGTACAAAAGTTAAGAGTTGGCAAGATGCAGCCCTTGGCTTTGGACGGGCAATGCTCAGTATGCAGTATATAAACACAACACCCATTTATTTGAAGCAAGGCAGGAAAAATCTCTCTACGGAATTCCATTTGAGTGTTGTGGTAGCTGACATGAAAACGAAAGTGCTTGTTTTTGCCCAAACCTGAGGTTAGTCAGCCTTTTAAACACTGTAGATCTGCTTTTTTTTTTTTTTTTTTTTTTTTTTAATGGTTGGTTGTTTTTTTCTTCATGTGTTTGTGGGAAAAGGAGATGGACAAATGTAAGGTAAGTGGAGAAGGGCAACACTTCTCTGTAATTTTGTTGTTTGTCCCGTGCTTGTATTGCCTACCCAGTCACATGTAAACCTGCAAAACCAACTTTTGTAAATATCACCAATGCTGAAATAACTGGCTGCAGGGAGCACATGAAATACAAACTTCTTTGCTGGATGGTTTTACTTATTGACAAATGTAAATAGTATCAGACATCTATTAGTATGTAAAGGAAAAGATGAGAAAACAAAAATAGTGTTAAGTATTTTATTCGATTCAGGCTAGTAGCATCCATAATATCAAGAGGTCGATGACAGTAGATATGCTAATGAAGTCATTATTTCTACTGTATGTCTAAATACAAGCCATTTTAGCAATTCAGATTAATGAACACTTTGGATCACATTAATATAGGAAATAAATTGTCATCTAATTTCCTATTGTTATCTAATAACGACTGAGTGAACAACTGGTTGCTGTTTCAGTTTAAACCATGTTTAAATTATACAAGGTAGGTGGATGTGGTAATGATTTTAAATCTGATTAGGAATTTTCTGCTCTATATGCATTTTGCCATTATTGTTGCTGTGTGGAGCAGACCTAACTATGAGTGCAAGGTGAAAATAGCATCAGGTCTAAGATGTCACTGCAGGTATTGCCTGAAGAAGACCCTTGTGGTTCTCACAGCTTTGCAGCCATGCTTTGGAGCACACTGTTTTACAAAGTGGGTAAATCCTGAGCTTCCAACTATTTCATCACCACTTGAAGTGACATTAAAAGTAAGACCAACTGGTGCAGGCTTGGGGGATCAAATGCAGGCTCCTCCCTTGCAGGCGCAATAGCTGATCACTAGTTCACTGTGGCCAGTGCTCCTGGAAGGATCTCTCAAGCAGGTCTTCTG